ATATTCTCGTTTTTCTGCTGATTTTCTATTGCATATATTATATATACCATAGGTCCTATGTTATGAATTTTGTTAGAAACATTCAAAGTATCGGCCCTCACCTACGACGCAGGTGATCGAACGCGAGAAGACAGAATCCACCGCGCGCCGTAGGTAGCCCAGCTCAAAATCGATTCGATTATTGATACGTCCATGTCGATTAATGTCCACAGTGGTGATTTCCTTACTCTCCAGTTTCTCTTTTATAAATCTTCACTTAGAAAAACAATTGAGAGGATTGACGCCCTCCGATGAAAGACAATAGTCTCTGTTGATGGAGCTGGGACCGTCGCAACCAAGGCATGCCTTCGCCTATGTCCTCTTATGAGCGCACTCTCATAATATTAGGAGGTTTACTAGGAACTGTTCTGCTTATGGTCGGCGTCATTTGTCTTCAAAGCCTCTCCTAGATAGGTCTAATCCGAGGTTTTCATTTAAACGTCGATAGCAATCGGAGGCTCATTACCGGTAGTGGATGGATGCTCTGTCCTAGACAATAAGAAATTTAGCAAAGAGTTTTCACCGTTGCGAATTTTCTCTCCCATAGATTCCAAGACTGTCCTATCAGGCTGAGTCAACCGCGCCTGCTATGTCTTCCCTTGACCACAATAGGTCTTCCACGCGGCGCACGCCAGGCCTTTTGCATCTCGTATGCTTTTTTCCATGGTGCCTTAGGTCTAGATGCCATTTTTGTACATCCGTCAACTGCCAAGCCCTTAGTACGTTCTCACAATTTGGATGCTTTTATGAACGGTTCCCAGAGTCGTCGCAACTGACTCTAATGCCAAGCCATTATTTCTGGCAAGTCGTTTCTTTATGAACAGGAGTTCAAAACATCGACTGATCGTAGTGGGTCGCGTCTCTTCTTCTCTATGTCAGCACCAGTCAAATCGTCCGGCTGACGCTGTGTTCTCAGGACAAGCACGGACACCAGCGCCATTGATGTACGGGAGTTGATCACATCCCTACAAAACCAAATGAAATGAATTGACAAGACAGGATCAAGGGCGGATCAAAGCAACATCAAGGCCTAAGATCTCCGCCCAATTTGACCAACTTGCTCGACCGTTGATGCTGCCGCAATGTTCTGTTCTGTTCTTCGCGCCTAATTCAAACGGTTGCTGTTTGCTAGCGGCTGGACAATAGCAAGCCCCCCTTCAGCCTTCCACCAATAGCGCTGGCAACAACCGCCGCCCTTCAGCATCCTCAGAGCATTGCAGCAGCATCAACGGCCAAGCGATTTGGTCAACAAGGAGCAAGGACAGCAAGAGCCTTTCGACCAGTTGCACTAGCTTAACTCTAAATTCTTGAGTTTTCACTGACTTCAGCTCTAACAGACAAGAAAAATCAATCAGCTGTATGGAATACAATACAGTCAGTACCTATGCAGAACGACCATTTTCAGAAATCCAGCATGAAAGTTGCGGTACGATTTCTTGCCAAGAACAATGTCGACTCCGGATGGCTTACTCATCTCGAGCATGTCAACCAATTCCTAGAGACATTGAGTAGCGACGAGGTGCTCTTGGATGCAGGTGCGTGGCTGATCACTTATTGCGCAGCGCTGCCTCTGGTTCAGAGTTGCTCAATTTTCCGAAGGGAAAATAGAGCTCTGAAGCACCGGTCATCCGTATGCGCGGTGGCGTGAATGTTCTGCGTCGCTCTGCTGGGCGCTTTTCTTTGATTTTAGCGCATATTTTCCTCGACGCTAGAGTACTGAAATCGCAATCTTCTCACTGCGTTGTCGCGCACACAGCGTTACAACGTTGCAACCTCACACTGATCTGCTTTCTCTCTTCAGATTATTAAAGGTGTACGAGCCGGTATATAAGGTCGCCAGAATTCCGCAAATTTTGTTGCGTGCGATTCTTGTAATCCCTGCAACTGCTAAGGCGTAAGACTGCAGCATTGCTTGGAGCGCAGCCAGGACAGAGCTCCCGCCAATTGCAACAGGCTCAGGATGGCATCATTGTTGGAACGGTGCCGCCCTCGCTGCAATACGCGCTGCGTCACACATCCTATCGTTTGCAAGGCGTAGTTGAACCATATATGCCTCTCAAATCACAACGGTTATTAAAAACAGATGATTGAGTATAGGAGCTACTCAACGGGACTGCTCCCTCAACGCTTGCGCGTTGATCTTCCTCTAACTGACAAATATTTTGAGAAAGTCTCTTAAAGCAGGAATGCTGGCCGTTGCAGCCCAGACGATCGACGTTATGGACAACACCACGTTGCAGTTGGTGAACGAGGCGGTGGACACAAACATTGTCCAAACATTCACCGACGACGAGCCACGCATCACATTGATGACCGATTTCGTATCACAGGTGAACAGTTTATTGAACGAAAACAGTGGAAGAAGTAGATAGGTAGCGAAATGAAATAGAAAGCAGATGATTTGGAGGTGTTGTTCCATTCTTCAGAATCTGCACTTTTCCCCTCTTTCCTTGCTGTTGTCTCATTCTGCGATTCCGTACCCGTCAATGCACCCTTACTCATTGATGTTAATCCCTTTTACTGTTAGCAATGGTGGTGACAAACATTTCACGATTAATATAATACAGCGGTTAGTCGTTAGCCGAAAAGAAAAGAGAATGGAAAGGGTGGCGGGAAAACCCGGTCTCCCATGAGCCTATCATCCGCACGCGAACCGAAAGCACGAAACCCGTTACCGTGAAGTTCTCAATGGGGGGTGGATGCACATTTGCTTTCTAATTCGTTTATCCTATAGTATTCGCATATTCGTTATCGGGATCACACGACGTCGCGTGCGCGGCTACGAGCTACGCGTGCAGGCAATGGAGCGCGCTCGCGATAAACTCATTGGTTGTGAATATGATTGTGTTCGCTTCAGTTTCCGGCCACACTGTTCTTATAGTAGCATCTAGATTATACTTGACCGTTATTGTGTTTTATTTAGCTTACTAGAGTAGCCGTACAGTAGTACTGTGATTTCTTCTGTTGAAACGCTGGCGAGGCTTGATACATAACTTCATTCGCGTCTAAGCACGTTAACGTACAAAACCGCCTTCTTCAGAGCCTGAAAGGATACGATTCGTGACCATCCGACCAAATGTCTCTGCAGTCCCACTGAAGTTCAATCCTAAATCGGGTCGCCACCCAATCACAAGAAAGACCACTTGTGTACCATAACTTAGACCGATCCTCGAGACCAGTAGGAAGCTTAGCCGCTGAACCAAATCGGACTGCTCTGAAGTTTCAGAGCCCCTGTGTAAGGCCACTTGTAGGCGTCAGTTACCGCGTGGATAGTGGGGCATTCTTCCCTCCGGTTCATTTTTGGTTCGATGACCTGGATCCAGAATGTCTTGAGGGTTTTTCGAGCGGATGTTTATGCCAAGACCTGGCACGGGCGACCCCAAAACTCCTTCTCTATGAGCCTAGAACCCTATGGCTTCCCCAGGCGAGACAAACGGTGCCGTCGATATGCTGCCTCCCCCCAACTACCTACGACAATGATCGTGTGTAGACCACCCCTGACATAGCGACAATCCACCCTCCTTGCGTTGGTCGGGCAGTAACCACATACGATGGTTGTTTACAGGCGGGCCCGAAAAAAAAGTTTCTCACCGGCGGCCGCTGTTGAAGTGATAAACGCTTTAAATACATCAGTGATCTGTGATGCGAGAAACCTGCGAGACTCTGCTCGCAGAGCCTATTTAGCTTACCTGTTGATCTCTAATCACTTGGCAGCCACAATGTTTTCTGGACAGCATGCTCTATGTTCTTATTGCCGTACTTCTAAGGTATGGAGACTGTCCTGTTGAAAAAATAGCAGCGAAATGTCGCTGTCGCCGTAAGAAAGACCATACGCGAGCGTGCGCCTATCGCTAACATAGGGTAATCGCTAATGTTGCGGTGCGTCGCCGTGTCCTATTGGTCACATTACCCTTTGTTTTGGTGGCTATTATTTTTTGCATATGAGTAGAAGAGATATAATAATTTAGAACTTCGTTTGGGCCTATAACGATCGAAATGGAGCGCTTCTCAAGAAGCTGCAGCCGTATTACTTTGAAATTATCACCTTTAACGAGGTGAGTTCATTAGAATGCTGTGGTGTCAGTTTTGATGTTGCCATAGTACTATCACATGAAAGTATCGCTGGAAAGGGGCTATGTTATTTCACCGAACGCTTGATGTGGGTTCGAAAAACTCACTAGGATCTACCGCTGGACTGGTCATTGGAATGATAGCCAGGTTGAAGGCTTGTTATTGGACTCTCATAACTTTTGGGTTGGGAGGATACTGGGCTGTTGACGTCGGTGATAATTGCTCGTGCAGCGAGTTGGATTTTCATGCCAGGGTTCAATCAGCAGTATGTCCCACAGCCTACATAACCGAGCCCAATTTGAAATGTTTTGCGTTTCTTCTAAAGTCGTTTTATTTTGTAATTGTGGTTGAGCAGAGAAAGGAATATCAGTCGTCGGGATTGATCTTGTCGTGTTTTCATTTCAGTTGGCTGCCCAGGTGTACCAAAATCAGACGTCGATTCCTCGAAGCCATATAGTCCCCGATCCGAATTATGGGGACGATACAAAGGACATGGTGACACTTTGTCCTTTGAAGAGTAGGTCGTTCTCTTTTATTACAGATTTATTCCTGTGTGAAGGGTCTGAATTCACTCTCGCGCTTGGATATTATGGCTTTATTGGCTTTACTTAGTTACTGATAAATAACTGAACAGATTATGAAGTAGCACAACTGACAGCGGCCCTTGGACACTTTGATAAGATTAAAAAGGAAATGTTCAGAGACCTCGGTACCAACCATCATGATCGTCATCATCGGTACCTGCGCCGGTGCAGTGCTGATCCTCACATCATCGCCATACTGTGCTCATTATCGCTCAGAAAGTACCATGTGGATGGAGAAGCTGAATCGCTTCCGATCGCATCATGAGGGGGACAAAGGAGGCAGAGGACGACGACCTGTGAGTTCAAAGGCACACCTTTTTTTTTTATTCGGGTCACATTCAGAATCGATGGAACATATCATAGTGATTGTGAGCATTGGTTTGGAGTCTCTGAGAGACAGTGGATAATTGAGTAGAGGCGCTGAATTGGGCGCGCCTAGAGATGAAAAGATGCGGTCAAAACCAGCGGAATGAGGTTCTTGTTGCGCTCATTGATTTCGAGCCCTAGTGGACTTAACTACCTTAATGTCAACAGCGATCATCGATAACCTGGACGCTGCGTTTTCCCGAAATTTGCCGCGTCAATGGATTGTTGGCCAAGACTTGTCACCTAGAGGCGGGGACCACGGACTACTCGACCCTTTTAAAGATATTGTTTTGCTATGATTTATTTCAACTGAGCATTCTTGTGATAACCTTCAAAGAATAATTCCCGCGAACAAGTGCTACGGGTGAAGGGTGTTCAAATATGAATCACTACCCAGTAAGTGATATCATACTAAAAAGAAAAAAGAAAAATAGCCTGAAATCACCCTTGATGGGGACCCCTTCAGAGCTGCACAATGTTATTCTACGAGTTATCCGGACTTGCTGGCAATTGGCCTGCTGCTTCTTGCAACCCCTCGCTCATGAATCGTTTCTTCCCAGCACTTACTTCCATCTCACGCTAAAAAAAATATTTGGAATAGAACTCGCAAAAGAAGATAGCTGATGAAAACCCACTAACGGAATTACGATGACGGTAAACAATGCATTATGAGCTTAGGCACGGTAGAGCATCGTGGTGTGAAACACATGGGGGAGGGCATACTTTTCCGCTGGGGAGGCGGGGGGGGGGGGTCGTATATGCCGTTGGGCGAGAGGTGGGGTCGTATGAGCGTTTGAGAGAAATTTGCTGCGTTGGGCAAAAAATTTTATCCGGTTGTCGACTTTCTTTTCGCGTGATTTTTCCTGTACCCCCTCGACGGAAAATTTTTGGGTGAAAAACTAGAAAATGTGGGAAATTGGTAGGTAGGTGTTGGGGAAGGGGGGGTCGTACCGAGACCCTCATTTAGGTGAGGGGGGTCGTACTGACCTTCTCTCTGGAGGCGGGTCGTTCGCTACACTGCCATTTCACACATCACGATGCTGTACCCTGCTGTGCCTTGCTTGCGCATCAGCGCTATTGTGGATTTATGCGGCACCAAAAGGCATGTTGCCTCAGGAACTGGACAGATTGCTTGCTTACAAAAAGGTATGCAGAGAGAGCAGAACACCTCGTGAGCTCGCAAAACCTCATGATTCCGCAAAAGAGTCGACAACCTGCGAAACACTGAGACAAGCGTTGTAAATCGTCCTACAATACTGCAGCCAACAGAATGCATACACGCAATTTTCTGTGTAACCAAGTCCTCTTGTGGCCTGAAAACGTTGAAGAAAGGAAAGGTCGCGCGTATCTGGCTGCATGCCGCGCGTTTGTATAAGAATGTGGTACAGTTCCAATGCCGAATGCATGAAAGCAAATTACGGACCACTAGGTAGCGGGAATTTTCTTTGATTCGTCAATTTCCTCCTTTTTCCCCTGTATTTGCAGGTCTGCATGGCGTTCTGTGAACAGTGACCTCATATATCTTAAGTTTTCCTCCATAATAGGTGACTCACCCAACCAGGAGTCTCCCCTCTTCTTGAAAAAAAAACTTATACCCTGTCTCGCCACATATTTTTTGGATCTTTCGATGTGCAACGCATCGCCTGAATTAGCACCCTATTTCTATATGCTTAACGAAACTATGGCGTCGTGTACCTTTGAACCATACGGCCTATGCTGTTGTGTAGAGAATTGTTTACTGTTCGTATGCCTCTGGAATTATAATTGAGCAAAATGTACCAATTTGCTTGAAGCCACGAACAGGGCAGGAGTAGCTCCTACAGCAAATACTATCAACAAAGCTGAAATCCATTGCTGTTCGAAGCAGTCCACGTCGTGCGTCATTGAATTCAATCTATCGTCTTGCTCACTAGATGCTGCGTTTTATTTGCTCGTAAAATCTGGCGCTATCTGGGGGTATGACTTGGAGGGGCAGCAATAGCCGGGAAATTTTGCAACCATCAAAGAACGACAGTGTAGGACAATCAAGAGGGGAAGGCTCAAACTGCTTTAGTAAATTTGTTCTTTAATTTGAGGATCGATTACTGGGAACTGTCACCTGAGCAGGTCATCATCAAGAACGAGCAACTGGGACATGGTGCTTACGGACAGGTTTACAAAGGTAACCTCGTGCTGTGATAACGACCCATTGAATGTTTCAACACGAATGTTCCTCATACGAACCACCTTTCTGACGTTCCTGTTGTTTTTAACCATATCTTCATTTTCAGGGAAACTTATCGGTCCTTCGCCAGGAATATTACGGTATCACAAAAATGAAGTAGCCCAATTCACCGACTGTGACTGTGCTGTGAAGATGCTACCGAAATATGCTTCCGACAGCGCCAGAGCAGAATTCATGCACGAAATCGAGTTGGTGGGTGAATTCGGTTTCATCAGATGTGGCTTGGCGGCAAATAGTTACAGTCTTCATCTCTGCAATCGAGAGGGCGTGTGGAGGGGCGTCGATATGTAGCAGCGCAGTCACAGCAGCCGTGATCGGTGCGCCGTGATCAGAATTACACTGACAGTTTTCCAGAAGCAGCCTTTAACAGAAACACTGTTCTGGAAGAGCTAGACTTTGTTCAGATTTCCAGGACCGTTCTGAAGGCAGTGACCACGGTAGTAATCTTACTAGAGGTATAGAGTATTTTCTGAAAGAAAAGATACCGTGCCCCTGAATAGGTGCTCTGTGCTTGCATTTGTTCCCATTTTTCGTTTTAGGGTATTTATGAACTCTTTGTTCGTTTTTTACGCAACAACCCCGCCTATTCGGACGAGCGTTTCTGCTGCTCTTAGAGTCTCTCAAATTGACAAGTAGCCTTTTGATGATTCATTATAAGCAATGAAAGAACACCATGACTGAGTGTATTTTTCAGTACTAGTGATAATCATTCCTTCTTGGGACGTGCCGAGTGGGATTAAAGGCATACGCTGGCTTGTATTGGACTCCAGAAAGCTATCAAAGCTGTCAGAAGCAGCCTTTGCATGCGAAACCTCACTACTATTTCATAATATGTCTTTCCTACAGATGAAAACCCTTGGCTTTCACGACAACATCGTCAGCATGTTGGGCTGCATCACAGCGGCTAATAAATCCTGCTTAGTGATCGAATACTGCGCCAGCCGAGATTTGCTCCGTTATCTGAAACAACGAAAGACGGAACTGGAGATTGTAAGTGAATCTCTGCGGAGAACCTCAGTACGTTTTTTCATGCGGTTTCTTTTAGAGTAAGTCAATTGATGAGCAAATCGAGTGCACGAAAGAGTTTCTGAATTTCGCATGGCAGATTGCACAGGGAATGGTGAGCTCTTCGATGTTGCCTTAGAGAAACAACCTAAGATAAAGCCAAAAAGCGATTTTCAGTGTTACTTAGGACAGAAGAATATCATACATCGAGACCTAGCTGCAAGAAATATTCTCATTGCAGTAATAGACGGAATGAAGAACGCTAAGGTTTGTTAAGGCTATTCGTGTTCACTGAGCATGCATATAAGTTTACAATTGGTCAGGAATGCTTCGGGCGTGAACGGCTTCGTGGGGCCACAGTGTGGCTCCCAGCTGACTTGTACTGACCTC